ACTGACATGGGGTCCTGGTTTCAAACTGTTTCAGGCTGGTTTCAGGCTGAAACTCAGGTGTGGGCACTGACATGGGGTCCTGGTTTCAAACTGTTTCAGGCTGGTTTCAGGCTGAAACTCAGGTGTGGGCACTGACATGGGGTCTTACTCGAAGCTTGCTCTGAGAGTGAAGCTGGAAGAAATCTAGCCTGCAGCCTGCTGTGAAAAACATGCCGGCAAAGCCAGGACAGTACATGGTTTGGGGATCCACTTGTCTCGCCTATTGACTTTGAACACCTTTTGAACGATCCATTGGTGATGGAGGCCCAAAAGCTGTTGAGGGTCTTGTGAAGCAACTACAGGCCAACAAGGAACTTGTGGAAGCAGATTTAGCGGTCGTATCACTGATCATTTGAACACAGAATACCAGTGGTCTTTGGACATTCGTTTCTCACTTACCACAACAAGAATTGAAATGTTGTTTAAAACCCTGTGTCCAACGGCCACCAAGGAGATTCAAGCTCAGGTCCCTGCTTGCAGGAACACACCCAATATCTTGTATTATTGATATATACAATAGTAGTGGGACGTATTGAACTATAGAACACAGCACAGGCTCCTCAAGCTAGCTTGGAACACTTAAAACCCTAGGCCCTGCTTCCTTCCCGCGTAGCTCCCCAAAAAACAGCATGTTACAGCTGTAGCCAGTTCCAAGTGGCCAGCAACAGGAGCAACCGTCACGGGCACCATGCCGGCAAAGATGGTGCAAAAGCTGCTGATGGCGCAAAGGGCCCGATAGTGTGACCTGGCAGGGACTGTAGGGACGGCAGGGACCTGACCTGAGCAATTCGAACCTGACCCCCAGTTCGAATAAAACCTCTGGGGTGACCACGAAGCGCCTTGATTCCAAAGGTCCAACTTCGACACTGGAGTCCCTTTGTAGAACTGGTGAGATGGATCGTCCATCGTTTTAGCCCGAACCCGAGGAAACCAACAGCCTACAAAGGGTCTTGAAGCTGCTGCTTAGAGCATCATTTCGAGCTCCACAAGCCCAGGGGCCTCTCACAGCTCCCAAGCCTATCTGATGTCCCTTTTGGGACGCAGCTCTTGGTCTTTTGGACGCAGAGCTAGATGTTTCACACACCAAGGTCATTGCTCCACGGAATCCGCGAAGGCTCACAAATGAGTGAAAACCATGGTAGAAGTCGTTTTCTATAGGTTTGTGGGGTAACCAGCATTCTCGGAGAAGGGGTAACCCGGTAACCCTCCATTCTCCGTCCTCCATTCTCCACCCACGCGCCACGCCTGATCGGTGCCTCAGTTTGACATGATGCTCTGCCGCTCGGCGATCGGTTTGGAACAATGCGATCAAATCGACAGGGCGATTTGGAAGATTAGATTTCACCAAAACAGAGCTAAGAGTATCTAAGAGTGAACTGTTCCAACAACTTGGAACTGCATCAGGTCTTATTTGACCAAATAAATCTAAGAGTGAATTGTTCAAACTTCTTGGAACTGCATCAGGTAAGCATTGCCGTACTCATTGTTTGGAGGTCAAGTCAACAAACATGTCCCTGCCAAACTACACCCAAATATGTTAAGGAAGAACAACTGCATACCAATTCGTGCACATTCAGCAAAGGCTTCCCTCCCCCACGTGCCGAACCAACCACTCAACCAATAGGTCATGTAGGGACCGAATGAAGTCTTGACGATCCCTCCGTGAAAAGTCTCTGCAAAGAGGTTTTCATTTAAAGTATACTGTGCATCGCTGCCAAAATCTCTCGATTTCTGAAGCCACTGAGCTCTGTGTCCCAGCTACAGGCTCAGATGAAGATGCACATGGAATAGAGATCAAGAGGGCCAGAACGACTGCGCCACCTCCAAACGCCAAAGACCATGTGGAAAACGACCTGAGGTCGTTGAGAAGAAAACTCTTGCAAGAATGCTACGTTCGGGGCTCCTGGCCTTACTACTAAGAACAAGGACGCTACGAACAGGGCTCCTGGCATCGCTACGAATATAACAAGAAGCTACAGCTGGTGCCAGAGATCCCCACAGAGTCGACTGTGTCGACAGTCACCCAGTGGCCAGTGGGTTACTTCGGAAAAAGCATCGGCGGCCGAGAGCCGTTTCGGTGGCCCGGAAAAGGGTGATGGAAAACAGCTGGGAGACCCCGTGAGTCCATCAGCATCTGTGGAGGTCAGGGCAAATCTTCCACCAAACAAGGAAGTTTCTGATCTCCAGTCCCTTCCCACAAAAGCCATGCAACAGCTCCAGCCCATGCGAAGCCGTCTGTCCCCAAATTCAGCTCAGTGGCATGAAGACGCCTCGCTGCAAACCTGGCAAAAGCTCCAGTTGAAATAGCACCGCACCCAGCACTGCCGCTAGGTGCCCAAGAGCCAATGCCACCGGGCCCCGTCGCTGCGTCAGGAGCAAAGCCTCCTTCCAAAGTCTTCCGCGCACGCAAGGCTCCTTGGAGTCCGGAGGCTTGGGGGTGGTGTTTGACAAAGAGATTCACTTTTGCACCCGGGATTTTGTTTTGGATGGTTTTAAGATCGTTGCAAGGAACATGTCGACCATGTTCTCACTCTCGAGGTGGTTCCAAGGTAGCATCTGTGCGAGCTTGAGCCGAGGAGATTTGGAGCCTCAATGATCAAGTCCCCCTAAAGAAGTGTTCTTCAAAGAAACATCTGCTACAATGCTCAGCCTAACAAGAATCCAGCAACCTTCTATTTCACCAAGTCTCCAAGAAGGCCTCTTCTGAAATCTCCGACACTTCAATCTCCTCAGGCTTGGCCTCCGGCGCCTCAGGATCCTCGATTTTCCCGTTCTCCATGAAGTTTCGCCCAGATCGCAGCCCAAAGGTCAAGGGCCAGCGCTTCGACTTAGAAGCACGAACTGAGACACATACTGCGGAGGGTTCCAGGCAAAGTTTCGTGTAGAGGAACCTTCATGTCAGTTTACCCATTCACACTGTTGGACCCCTTTTTATCTCAGAATCCCACCAGACAAATCCAGCCAAATCAAAACAGCTTTGCATCGAGAACATGTGGCGCAGAAATCCAAACATCAAGCAAAATGGCCACGTGCTTGGAATTGTTCGTTTCTGTACTGCAGGACAGTTGTACCTCCTCTTTCTTCCGCAACACGTGCTATCCACACGGCTCGCAGCTCTAAAGCAGGTGAGACGAGGGTTTTTGAGCTCCAAAAGTGCTCTTCAGCTCCTGCGAACGACGCGATTCACGCCCTCCACGGCCTGTTCCCACCCGGTCGGAACTCGGTTCTTGTGCCAACGTCGATTCTGTTCAGGTCAGGTCTATGAACGAAGGAGAACACACCTGAACACACCCCTCAACGACTTGCCCGGTTTAAGAGGGGGGGGCCGTTGGTTTAAGGAGGGGCCCGGTTTAAGAAAGGGGGCTCCGGACTTAGATGGAAGCCGAAAGGAAGGAAAGGTGCTTGGTTGTCCCAACGAACTGGAGACCTGGAGTTGGCCCGGCCGCCCTCCCTCTCCTCTCGTAGCCCGATCAAAGGCCTAACGGTGGGTGGACCCGACGCAGAGAAAAAGAGGCAAGGTGGAGCAGATAGAGGATCGATTCTAACCATGTAAATGCTTATTGATGCGTGGCATTTACAAATGCAAGTTGGATGTTGAGCAAAAAAAGACAAAGCACTTGACAAACAACCAGTTTGCTCTGTCTGAATCTATTCTACTGTATCCAATCTGTCTAGGTATCTAGTGAGCTATCTATCAAATCTATCAGGCCTGCCCTCCAATATGCTTTCGCAGCCGCCCAAGATCACAGGATGACAGGCACGAGAAAATCACCCTTGGATATTATGTAGGTCCTTGATTCATGGTCCTTCACGGTCGTTCTTTCCTCACGTGCGCCACGGTGCCCGCCTTTGGCCACAAAAGGTTGAAATCGTGTGACGTCTGAAGGCACGTGCTCCTGGAAGCGGCGCTGCCAAGCGGCGCGAAGCGGAAGATCGAAAACAGCCATGGACGGCTGTTTTGATAGCCGATGAGCCCATGGATGATCTGCATGGTAGGCCCTACAAAAGGCTACCAAATACAACTAGCAGTCACTGTAAACGTGTGGAGTTATGCAATGAGAGAACCTTATTGACTGCCTGATTGACTAGTACCTGTCTATTTGTCTAACAAACCAGCTAAGGGTGTTCGATTAGGTTGCTTGCTTGCCTTGCTCCTTTACTTCCTGAACTTACTTGGCCCCAATAAATTCATCACGGGTAATCAATGTTAGGCTGTTGGTCCACGATGTCAGAAATTTGCAAGAAATGAGGCAGCTGGCCAAGTACCTTGGAGTTTCCTGCGCTATGTATGACTAGCCTGAACCAGCAGGAGTCGCTCTGAACATCTTCCGACGAGATATGATGGGATACGTACGTCTAGCCAAAGCCAAAACCTGAAGGGAATCCGCCCCAAACCAACCAAACCACGCTTGACGAGTTGATTTAAAAAAAAGGATCGGACGAGTCGATCCACGCAGAGTTGGTGGACGGGTCGCTCCAAAAGGTTGCGAAAGGTGGAGCGATACCAGACCTAGGCCGAGCCCCTCGAGAGGGGCAGAGAGGCAGAGAGGGGCTTCTTGGAGGGGCAAAGGCTTTTGGGGCCTTTTTGAGGATGGGCGAAGGAGGCAGATCTGGACCGTAGACTCAATGGGTCGGCTTTTGGGGTGGAGAAGCATCTATCTGTCTGTCTATCTGTCTATCTCTCTATCTAGCTGGCTGTCTGTCTGTCTGTCCGTCTGTCCGTCCGTCCGTCGGTCGGTCGGTCTGTCTGTCTCTGTCTGTCTGTCTGTCTGTCTGTCTGCCTGCCTGTCTGTCTGTCTGTCTGTCTCCCTCCTCATTGCAACCTTCAAGATTCCCCTTGCACATGACCCTGACCAGCCCCTGCATACCCAAATGCTGCAGGTGAGCTTGCAAGGGGCCGGCCAACAAATACTCTCAGAAACAACAACTTACCCGGTAATATCTATGCCTCAAAACCTGCCCTGGGTCAACTCTAAAGATGACCCAACCAGGGTAAATCCTCCAACCTGACCCGCACCGCCCTCCTTGGGCGTGGGGCTCCCCACTCGCGTGCGTGCTCGGCGCTTGGCAAAGCAGTCGGACCTCTGGTTGTTGTTGGTCGGAGGCCGATGGATGCAGGGTCGTAGGTTCCAAATCTGGAGAATTCATCTTGGCAGTGATCAAATGCAAAGAATATCAGAATATCAAAGAATATCACATTGATGGCATACAGACATACAGCCAAATCATCAAGACATGTTGACATGTTCCGTTTGGAAGGGGCTCGTCAATGGGGAAGACACCGGTGTCAATCACCACCGAGTTAACTCGGCAGTCCCACCAGGTCTTTCGGGGTATGAAAGTCTGACCCACAGAGCCATCCTCAATCATCCTCACTAGTAGCTTCTTGTTACTACTAGTAAGGCACTTGTTACTACTAGTAAGGCACTTGTTACTAGTAGCTTCTTGTAGCTTCTAGTAGCTTCTTGTTACTAGTAGTAAGGATGCTCCTAGTAGTACGGCCAGGAGCCCCTAATTAGTAGCGTCCGATCGCTCCGAATTCGTAGCGATGCCAGCCCCGTTTTCGCCGCGAACCGATCACTCCGTTCGTCGCATCCGATGCCGATCGGACCTTGCCTCCAGTTGTGGAGTGGAACTGTCTCGCGGTTCTCTGGAATCGTATCAAACACACGGTCGTCAGCGCAAGCAGCAGTCTTCTACACAGATGCGTGAAATCATCTTGAGCCAGAATCTGTCCAAATTCTGACCACCCAAATGAGCCTCCAGTCTACCCCATTCCTCCCCCATTCCAGTCGACTGGTCTCGTCGACTGGTCTCGTCTTGGTCTCTGGGCATGGTGGTCACATTGGCCGCCAGCTCCCGCAAGGTGCGACACCTGGAGGTGGCGCGAGGACAACCCTTTCAACGCGAAAGACCCAGCCCCCCCACACCCGGAAGTCGAGGAAACAGGTAAAAATGCATGTGGGATCCAGGGGCCTACGTTGCACTCATGCCATCCACTCATGCCATCCAAAAAATGCCATCCAAAAAATGCCATTCACTCATGCCATCCACTTCCATGGTTTCAGGAGTGTATGGGATAGGTTTATGGCCCAGAATTTCTGGGTACTGGGTACGAGTTGGACACATCCTTTTCTTGGGGGGGTAGGGGTCCATGATCATCATCCATTCACATAGGATAGATGTGGAAGGCCAGGCTATGATAGCGAAGAAACAACGTGCAACACAATCAATCGCCAGTTTTCCGTCAAGGGCGTAGCATGGCTTAAGGCCTAGGTCGAGGCCAAACAGGTTGGGCCGGTACGGCCACGGTGGAGACAAATCATGCCTCATCCATGAGCACCTCAGTCTTTCACATTGATCCTATTTTATTTTGTGGCATGGAGTCCGGCATGAAAGGCTGAGTGCTCCGAGGGTGAAAGAAACTCACCAAGATGCCAGCAGGCACATCGATCAGCGCATGCTGATTCTGGAGGCTTGAAATCTCCACTCCAGCTTCCAACCTATGCCAGAAGTGCTGGTCTCCTGTCGAGAATCTGGCAAACGTTGACCTAAGTGGAAAATCTGCTGTACTGAATCTCGGCTCTGGCGTCCGCATGGACTTGCCATTATAGGCCACTTGAATGCCCATCCCGCTTTGATGGTGCCATCCTCTCTTTTCACCAAGGCTCAGAAGGTGCGGCAACATAGGGTCATCGCCACACAACCGTACTCCGGGGAGCTCAGCGCATGCTGTGGTGCTCTTCGAAGGCTTGGCTGCCTTAGCCTTGTGCACTTGCTTCTGGAACTCGGGGCAGTAGGAGATTGACCAAGTTCCATCGTGGAGGATCTTTCTCATGTGGTCTAGGCTCATGAGCTTTGTTCCAGCGTCAGCAAACATATTGCTCGTTGCTGTCCATTTCAGGGCAGTGTTTGGCCGCCGGAGGAGGCTTCGGAGCCAGGCTATGGTGAAAGCCAGACTCTTCTGTGACCCGAAGGATGCCGTGTCACTGTTGGTCTTGTCGTAGACGTCCTTGGCGTCGACAACACCTGTCATCTTCACAGCATTCATGGAAAGGTCGGCTTTGGTGCCGAGCATGTCCTTCCCAAGGATCGTGGCAATGAAGCCGCGGCCAAGCTGGCCGGCGTCAAGCGCCTCCTCGGCTGCCAAGGTCTCGGCAGCGTATGTCGACCGACACACGCGAGGGATTCGATGCGACCTCGCATCTAGGATGTTGAACCTGCCAGGTTTCCCATCCACCAACTGTTCATCGCCCAGGAGGATGAAGTAGCAAGCCTGTGAATAGACTCGCTCCAGGGCACTGCCTTCCGAAGAACCTGACAACTGCACGTTTCCAAGCGCTGCATCAGAAACCGCAACAATGCCAGCTGACCGGTAGTCGATCGGGCGGAAGATCATCTCGAAGGTGTCGGTCCGCTTGAACTCACGCACCAGCGAGTTGGCTCTGAGCACCGTCCCAATGGTGGGCGGATTCTCACCTTGTAGGCTTGAGACTCCAAAGGCCATGTCAAACCTCAGCTGCGCAACTAGCCACTGAAGGCCACCTAACACAGCGCGAAGTTGGCGATGTTCATGAGCATCAAGAGGAGTGCTAGGGTCAGACTTGCGGTGCTTCTGCAAGTTGATCTCACTCAAATTCTGGTGATACTCCACCATGCTCAAGCGAATGGTTCCATCCAAGACACGACGGATGCGTTTGCCGCACCATGTGAAGTCATTCAAGTCCTGTGACCCAAATCCAAGTTCGGATCCAATCTCGTTCAGCGATTTTTCAGCCAAGGAGCTCCCAGCGAAGAGGAGGTCATCAACGTGGGCCACGATGATTCCTTCAAGAGGCTGAATCCCTTTTGCT